CGATGATCACGAACACACGAGAGTGTGTCTGTCTGTCTCTGTGTCTGTCTGTCTATCTGTCTGTGTGTCTGTGTTGTAATGTGTGTATCTATGTGCGCCTGGCCTTCTCCCCCCCCGGCGTGCGCAATTTGCATGTTGGTGGGCCCCGTGTATCCATGATGAGCTGCCTAGTGCGTTGTTGCAGCACTGGGAGTGGGAGTGGGAGTGGGAGTGCAACACATGCTACTTATTGATTCATACGGACTTGAGGTACGGCATCGCCTCTTCCCCTGCCGGGGAACACTGGCCGCCAGGAGGCTGCAAGACACCAAATACACACACACCATAGGGTTTAGGGTTTTAGGGTTTTGGTCTTTCCAATGCCGGGCCTTATGTGGGCCCCCCGGAAGGGGCCCACGTGACGCCTCCCGCACGGGAGCGCCAGTGCAGCTGAAAGGGCGCCAGTGCAGCTCTGTATGCGCGCGATGAGATGTGCGCGAGATGTGCGCCGTGCGCGTGTATGTATACACATCCAATGATGAACTGGTTTAATAAGGTTACGTAATATACGTAGGTTAACACGTGGAGATGTTCGTACATCAATATGTACGACATGTGTTTTTATGTCCCAATGAATGTCACATTGCATGAATCGGTCTATTATGTATGTTTATGCCGGACGAACGTATGTGTGTATGTATGTAGTAGGTGTAGTTTGCATGTGCACGGTGACATGAGTGTGTTTTGCAAAAAACACAGCTCGTCGTACACCGGGGGAAGGAGGAGCCCCGGGATTCCTTAGAAAGCATGAACTTGGGAACATCCTGTACTATTCGTAACATCGAATACATTTGTAATATGGGCACTGAAAGTCCTGAAAATCTTTGAATTACATCAAATGTAGGTTACATCGAATCTGTTTTGCTGTTGGCCGGGTAGTTAGTTAGTTAGTTAGTTAGCTACCCAGCTATCTAGGAGCGTGGCTTAAGATCATCTTCAAACGATTGTCCATTTCTCTTGCTGTCCCGAGGAGGTGACGGGGGGGGGGGAAACCATCATTGGAGCGAAACACGCCACGCGCGCGTTTGAATAATATGCACTGTTATTACGCAACTACGCCTTTCGCCGTTGGGATTAGTTACCACCATGCTCGCTGCTCCGCTGCTGGTCTTGCTGCTGGATATTCAACGGCAAAGCATCGTCAGGTTCGGCATTGGTAGTTCGGCAATAAGTTCAGCATCCGCGTGTACGGCAGCCTGATGCGTGTGTCGTCTTGTAGGTAGGTCCTTGCAGGCATGTGCGTGTGTATGTATGCCTGCAGGTGGTTGCTGGATGCAGATAAAGTCACCTCCCCCATGATCCCCCTTGCCTGTTGGTCCACATAGGTGTGATGGGGGTTTCATGTCCCATATCCTTTGGGCAGGCGTGTTGCAGGATGAGAACATGCGCTCGCAGCTGCGCTAGGATCCTTAAAAAAATCTGGACTGCATTCTTTCTTCAGCAGTTCATCCCATTTTGCAGGTTTGGAGGTCTTAGCTGCTGGATGGCATGGTGTGGGGATCGTGTCGGTATTTGGCCTCCCAAGGAGCAAGCAGCGTATGAATGGTGATTAACACAAGGGTCCCACGGGTCCGCTGAAGCTATCACCCGGGCACTCAAAGGCAAAGTTGATGTTAAGACAGTGGCTTTGTATCATCATCTACGGCCTTCACACAGGGAAAGGCGCAAGAAGCGCATAGGAACAATCAACCTACCAATTGGCCTGATTTGAGTCCATCATTTCGTCAGACACTGGAGACTTTCAGTAATTTATGCGCAGTGCTAGCTATGTGATGGATATCTATAATGGCGAGAACGAAGAATAGTCAAATACGGCACCGTACTTACAATGTTTCTTCGACGCTTGCAAAGGCCATGGTAACGGAAGTCCGCTGATACGTGTCAATGATCGATTAAAGCTTGTGCTGAATAGCGAAGAGGTCTACTCAATCAACGAGTTTTCTTGCAGAAGTCGTGGTGTTTTATTTCCACAGGGGATTTTTTAACCTTAAGGACAAGAGACTCGGAAGCTGGTTCAATAATCTTAGTCTTTTGCATCTGTTACCTGTGGAAATTTAGCGCGAAAATGCGCGATGTCACGCGCTTCAACCCAGTGTGCTTGATTGGAAACTGGGCGGAAGACAGGGAGCTGCAGAGGACCATCCTAAAAGACCTTTTGTCGCGGAAGGGCACCGGGACACTAAAGCTCGATGCGTAAGTCCATGGCAAGTCGACATTTCTTTTGCAGACCGGCAACGAATGCCCACGCCGAAAGTGAATCGTGCATGCACCATCTGTGGCCCATCGGGATGGTGCTAGCCTAGCTCCCGTATCTCGATATGCCTTGCACATAAGGCAAGGTACACACCTTCGCCAAACGGGGACCTCAAATGCCGTCACGACTCAAACCTTTTCATGCCCAAGTACCGCACATGACTATCCCGACAACGATTACGTACCCTTCCAGCCTTCTTCCCCTCCCTTAGCCCTGCGATCACGTCTGCCCAAACTTTCCCCTTAACATATCCAACTCGACGCGACCCAAATCGCACCTTTCCGTCTGGGGCACGTGGTAGCCTATCCACACTACACCATATCATTCCCCCGCTCTCCCTTTCCCTTCTTCCCCCTCCCTCGCTTCCCCTTCTTTCTTTCCCACCCACTCCCCCGCGTCTCCCTCAGATTCCGTTCCCGCATGTCCTGTGCGCTGTCCGAGGTTGCTCTCACCCGGGTGGCTGATGACCCGTACCTGCACCTCGGGGACGTGGTGCAGCTGGTGCATGTGGACACGGGTTGCGTGCTGGCGGGGGACCCCGCGGATGCGGTAAGGGAATGTGTGCATATGTATGTATGTGTGCGTACGTGTGTCCAAGGAGGGGAGAGGCTGGGTGCAATGCAGTGCAATGAATGCGGTGGGTATGTATGTGCGGGGGTGTAAGGATGTATGTATGTATGTATGTATGTATGTATGTATGTATGCGCCTGCATGCGGGGGCCTGTCAGGCGGTGTCAAGAAGGATGCGGGTTGAGGAGTGGAGGGCCCGATGGGTGAGCAGTTGGGCGCGAATGTGGCGGCTGTCTGTCTGTATATCTGTCTGTCTGTCTGTCTGTACATCTGTCTGTCTGTCTGTACATCTGTCTGTCTGTCTACCTGTCTGGATGGACGGACGGACGGATGCGGGGATCGGAGGGGAGCTGTGGAACCCCGCGGAGGCGGTTGACGACGTGTGCAGGTGTAGGTGTGTATGTATGTAGTTATGTACATTGCACCGGAGGGGGGACAGGGCCTCCCTGCGGGTAGGGGGTTGGCTGGTTGTGAGTTTGGGACCGAGCTGGGAGTGCGGGGGGGGCAGCTTTGGTGTCCGTAGGTGGATTCAAGGTTAGATTGGGGGCCCCTGTTGGGGGCCTAGGGGAGGGCGTGTGTGAAGCTCCGTTTGAGCAGCTCGGGGGGGGGGGGTCAACATGTGAGGTGATCTGGGGAGGCCGGGGGAGGTGATTTACACTGTAGGCACTGGTAGCGCCACTGGCGGTAGCAGTAGAGCATAATCTGTCGCGGCTACCGCGCTATGGGCAACCGCGCAGTAGAGCAGTGCCCCTATCCTATCATGGGGAGTTGTGCGTCTTGTAGCTCCTGTTGCTCGCTGTGCTCGTTTTGATATAAGCGATGCCGCGTTCTAGGGTATTCCATACACACATGCACACTCTCACAAACAGACATACGTACTTGTACACACAAACAGGACTCGCGGCCCGGCGAGCAAGCCTGCGCCGCCACCGCGGCCCCGGACGTCAGAGCTCCGTGCTGCCGTAATTCCCTAATCATCCTGCCGTACGTGCCACCCAAGACCGCCACCGCGTTGGAGCCGCCGTACACTGACAATATCGTACACTACGGCCAAAAGGTAGGTTTGGGAGAAAAAGGAAAGCGCCACCTACTACCATGCCGCGGCGTAAAAAGTTACATTGCCGTACTTCGTCGTACCTTGCTGTGACTCATTTAACCTACTGCCCGTACATCCCTTGCCCTTATCTCAGGCAGTTGGTGATCTGTGGCGTCGACAGTTATGCCTTTGACCTTTGCAATAATCCCCCTTTCCCTTCCCCCCTTCTTCCCTCCCCTCCCTCCCTCGATACACATCGCACGTTAGGTCCGTCTGGCCCTGCACCCCGGTGCCTGGGGCGACTCGGCGGATGCCGGCGGCGGCCCCCGCCCCATGTGTTTGTTCTCCCGCCCCCCCACCACCACCCACACCTCCCGCTACACCCGCCAGCAGCTGGTGGGCTTCACCGCCCGGGTGGACTCGTACGACTGCGCCTGGACGGTGGTGACCCCGGATCCCGGACAAAGGGCGGCGTCCGAGGGGGTGGAGGTGAGGAGCTGGGGGTAGAGCTGGAGGGGGAACCGGGCAGTGGGGGGTCAGGACTGGGGACTGGCTGGCAAGGGGGGGGGCGCGCGGGTTTGCGCGGCTCGGGTGAAAGCATGGGGGTGTTGATTTGAGGGGGGGGAGGTCAGCGAGAGACAGAGTGGCGGGCGGAGAACGAGGGAGGGTGAGGGTGAGGTGGGGGGACGAGCGTATGCGTGTCCGCAAGTATACACGTATGATTAGAGCCGCGAGAAGGAAATGGCGAGTATGTATGTATGTATGTATGTATCTATGTATATATCTATGTATGTGGAAACGTGGATGTGGTATGGTATGTTCTGGAGATGGAGGAGGGAGAGTGCGGGGCGAGGGGGATGCCCGTCGTTCACCCGTCCACACCGCCCGCCACATAACGACCCAACCCACCCGCCCATCTACACGTGCGCCCCATCCGCCCCCTCCCTCACACCCTCCCCCTCAGGTGGCTGTGGGTGCCCCCATTCTGTTGGTCCACTGCGCCACTCAGAAGCCGCTGTGCCTGGAGGCCGCCAGGTACCCCAACGACTACGGTATAGAGCTGGAGGTGTCGGCACGTAGCGCCACGGCCAATGGACTGAAATTGGCCCTGGAGCAGCTGTCGCAGGTGTGAAGGGGGGGGGGCGGCGGGGAGAAGGAAGTGGGGCGGGAAGGCGGGGAAGGAGAATGAGCAGGAGAGCTGGTGGGGCGGGAGGAAGACCTCTCTTCTTGTCCTTTGATTTCCGTTTGAGTACTTCCCTAAGTACCTAATCCTCCGTTATTTCGAAAAGTTGTATGAGAGAAAACACACCTGTCTCTTCCCTCCCTCCCCCTCCCCCTCCCCCTCCCCTCTCAGGGTGTCTCTAAGGGCTTCCTGCCCAAGGGCGAGCAGTCCGACAACTGCTGGACCTTCGTCGGGGGCAGCAAGGTGGCGGAACTGCCGCCGGCCAAGTGAGCAAGAGGGATGCAGCGGCGGGAGGGGGGAGGGGGGGGCGGAGGTACTGGGTGCTGGGTATTGGAAGGTGGCTGGGTGGAGGTGGCTGAGGGGGCACATGCTTAGCGAGAGCATCTTTTCCGAGGTCTTTGGTTTGGTTTCGGGTTATGTTCTTGTTTCCTGTACGACAACTCCCCCTTCAGGGCAGCACGACAACAACCCTTCCAGAGACCCCATCCCTTATCCCTACCTCCCCCTCCTCCTCCTCCTTCGATACCACCACCATCTTTAAACGATGAGCACCAACCGTTGAGGTGCCCATGCCGCACCCCGCAGGTCCTCTGCTGACGAGGCTGCTGCCTTTCTCGAGGGTTTGGTTTCGGAGCTGGGTGCCCGGCAGGGCGCATTGAGCCTGCTGGAGAGGAAGCTGGTGACCCTGGAGAACAACCAGCAGCTCATGCCGGCGGAAGGTACTGGGATTCGTGTATGTGTATGTGTGTGTGTGTGTATGTGTATGTGTATGTGTGTGAAGATGTTCACCTTAGAGGAAAGGGAAAGAGGGTGGGGGAAGGGTATGTGTGTGTATATGTTTTGCTTGGCTTGGATCCCCCCTCCTCCCTTTCCTCGGCCCCCCCGCTCACGACCCCCACGGCCCGCCCCCTGCCGATCTGTCTCTTGAAATCCACACTGCCCTCCTCTCCACCCTCCCTGCCTTCCACCCCTTTCCGCCTCCTCCTCTCCACCCTCCCTGCCTTCCACCCCTTTCCTCCTCCTCCTCTCCACCCTCCCTGCCTTCCGTACCCCATACACGCCGTACACGCCTCCACTACCCATGGATGCCTTCCTTACCCCTTGAGTACCCCCGCCTATACACAGCTCCCGTCCCCAGTGCCGTCCTACCAGTGCCAACACCCCCCGCCCCCCACCCCCCACCCCTGCCATCATCAGACTTCAAACTGGTTCTGCGGCAGGTGGGCAGCCAGCTGCCCGAGGACGGCATTGCGGTGTTGCTGACCCGGTACGCGCCGCCGGGGGCCCGTGTGGGTGCGTCCATCGACGCGGGGCTCTTCCGCAACGACCTGAAGGCGGCCGCCACTGCCGCGGGGCTTCGATGAATACGGGGGAGGGAAGAGGAGGGGATGAAGGGGAGGGGAGGGAAGCGGCAGCTCGTTAGGGAGGAGGACGATAGGGGGAAGGAGGAGGAGGAGGAGGAGGATAGGTGTGTGGTGGGGTACTTGCTGATGGGGAAGGGGAAGGGAAATGGGGGGTTATTTATCGGTGGGGGGCGCCCTGTTGGGGGGATGTCTTTCGATGTAGGGCAGGGGTTAGAGGTGCGCGGTGCAGGGGGCCGGGGCGGGCGGCACTGGGGACGGAACAGGAGGCGAGAGGACGAGGGGCCGGGTGAGTTCGGAAGTGGATTAGGTTCACGGCGCGGGGGTGTGTTCGAAAGGGGGAAAGCCAAGTTCGAGCCCACCGATTGACTTTGGCTCTTTTAATGTGTTCAAGGCATGAGAAACAGGCGGCCATTCGGCTTCTCGGTGAAGGCAGGCCGATGGCGATGGCGTTGGGGATGGGGATGAAATTCAGTGCCGGCGAGATTAGATCCGCGTCGATGGGAGGGATGCTGCTTAAAGGGTGCTGCCCTTGCTGGCGGGAGGGGATGTGCTGGTCGGTCGGTGTGCTGTAATCAACTGTGTGTTCACTTGGGAGACGTTGGAGCTTTGGAAAACACGGACAGCTTTGGTTTAATGGGCATGCACGTCAAGGCGGCATGCATTTCAAAGCTGAAGCTGAAAGCTGCTGTAGGTTGCCAGGTAGGTTCGTAGGTAGGTAGGTAGGTAGGTCCGCCGGAACAAGATCTAACAGGATCCAGCCAACCGACAATGATTAGGGCTACTGCCTAGAAAGCCAATATGCGTATGGTGGCGGGTTTTGTGTATAAACGGGGTGTGTGACGCGCGCGCGAGATTGGCAGGTGGCAGCTGCTGGAGCCAATCGGAGTACGGCGACAGTTGCTGCAGGAATTGGTGGGTTATCGAAAACTATACACCGAATCTGGAAGCGTAGGACTTCTATGGCCATGAATTGCCAAAAATAAAGGTACAGTGCGATAGGACAATATACAAAACTTCCAAAATGACGGACCGCCGGTTCACAGGCTTGCAAAGGCAGGTCCTGGGCCTGTACCGGGCATGCTTGCGCAGTATCCGTGCGAAACCTGAGGAGGCTAGGCCTAGCTTATTTGCTTTTGCCCGCAGCGAGTTTGAACGAAATCGAAACATTAGCCCACGGGATATTCAACGAATAGAGCATCTCCTGCGCCATGGAAGGAAGCTCATGGAACTGCTCAAGGCAAGCGAAGCCAAAGGGGTAATTTTTCGATCAGGGTAAGGCATGTTTTAGTCAGGCCGGCTTGGAAGGTATTCAGAGAGGCCAGACATCGACGTCGGGAAGGTGTTCAGAGAAGCCAGGCATCGACTTCAGGAAGATGTTCAGGCATTTTATATGGCTTTACCAATGAATCGTCTTGCGCTGCCAAGGAAACATGCTCTTATCACGGTCCAAGGGCCGTTGTTCGGGAATGTCCCGTCCCACAGACGCGGCAGCTCATGCAGGACCAGGACCGGAAAAGTGGCGTAAATTCTGTGGATTTGGGGAAGACTGCTTGGCTAATCCGACAGGTCAACTTCCTGGAACCTTTTCACAGCTGCGGTAGCGCGGTTGTCCAGCTGGTGTGTAGTCCTGTCGCGGAAGCAGCGGGTGTAAGACAAAGTGCTTTTGGGGATCACACGGGAAATGGGGAAAGCTGTGCGGGTTAATGAAAACACAGTTTGTAAATTCATCCGTCTTTCGCATCACGGTGGCCCCTTGCCATTATGTGTTTTAAACTTTATTTTCATAATGAATTGGACGATGATGATTGAACTGCATTCTTCGTCAAAGCGAGGACTTAATTTACAATGCTGGCTGGGATCTATCACAGGTTGTGTGGTACGTGGCCTTGTGAGATTGAGGAGGAGGAGCAAGGGCACGCTGGAGGAGGAACCTGAAGTGTAGAAAGCATGCTGCCACGCCTGTTAGCATTCTGTGTCCACAGCATGGCTGGGAAGGATTTTGCTGAGGTTGGAGAGGCGGTTGCGGGTTGGGCCCTACTGGTTTGAGAGGACGGGTTGTGTTTCAAGCTCGTAGGTGGTTGGAAGCGCCAGTATCGTTGCGAATGATCCTCATCATGACGGGGAAGGGATAAGGGACGGCAAGCCGGTGAGGGCTGCGCTGACCAGCTGCGATGGTGTCGTGCTGGCGGCTAGCGCCTGACGTCGGCGTCGTTGCTTGTAACTTGAATTAGCGCAACGCAACAAGTTTCGGTTCTAAGTGAGTAAAGTGCTTGTTTGTATTCTGGATTTGGGCATGTAATACACATGTAACATGCACACTTTTACAGCGCGCGCTGGCATGGTAACGATATCGAAAGTCCTGGTGACCCATATCCATGCTCTTACAATACCGGTTTCACAAAACAATTTAATTATATTTCCATATTGCCTCTCTGTCGTGGGTGCGTTGAAATACTGCCTCTTGGTTGCTTTGGGGATCGCGGCTTCTACGCGCCATTCCATTAGATAGCTTGCTACCCGTCTACCTTGAGCAGACTGCAAGCTCAGGAGCTGTCTTAAACAGTGGAAACGAAAGGATGAAAATAGATGTGGTATGGTTTGGCGCTTGAGGAGGCAACGCGAAAATGTCGGTCATCGAGGCGAAGCTTATCGATGTCAAAACAAAGCTGGAGAGCGACAAAGTTTCCATTCGCAAGGTACGGTAATTATGTGATCAAGCTCAAAATCATCGGCCAGTGGCTTAGTATTCCTTCAGACGCAGGAGGTCGTCCAGGCACATCGTCAGCCGGCGGGCGAGCAATGGTCCATGGCAGTCAAAACGCTTTCCTACCTTGCGCTTTGATTCGATAAGCAATATGATTTGATTGCAAAACAAGCAGAACGGCGAATGCAGCTGGGCGGGGAGGGGGGTAGAGAAGGCAGGTGGGCGGGGCGCAAAGTGCGGAGGTTAACCCCCTCTCCCTGGCTGGCTTTAAACTACGCCGTGTGACCTCTTCTGTCGAGTGACTCTCTCTTTCTCTCCCCCGTCTCATTCCCTGCCCTGCCCCGCCCTGCCCTGCCCCGCCCTGCCCTGCCCCGCTCTGCCCTGCCCTGCCCTGGTGCTTCAGGATGGTGTCAAGCTGCTCTTCACGATCATGGACAGCCAACAGGTGCCGGGGCCGGGGCCGGGCCGGGGTGTAGTGTTAGGGCTAGGGGGAAGGTGGGAAAGGTGGAGGAGTAGGAAGCCCCACCCCGGGGGCGCCATCTCGACGGACAGCGCGTCGGGCTGGATGCTGTTGGATTGCCCCTCTGGTAACTCTCCTTGGAAGGGACGGAGGGGGAAGCAGCTGCTCACCAGAGCTGAAGCCGCTGAAGGAATACATACATACATACATACATACATACAGTGTAATCTAAGTCATCCATCCATCCATACATACCGTACACCTCAAATCATGGTCCTCTTAAGACACAGACACACACGCATACCCACACACTTTGACACGCGGCAGGCCCTTCAGATGTTGGACTCCGAAACCGCGAGAATGTGGCCGGACGAGCAGTGCAAAAAGAGTGAGTATGAGCGCCTGCTTAAAGGTCACTTGACACAGGACACTGATGACAGCACCCCTTGCGTACGGCGTACGGCGGGACCCGGGGAGCTAAATGCAACCTGGGGGGGGTATGCACGTCAGGGAGCAGGACTCGGCTGGCTGGCTGGCTGGTTCAGTCCTTTTTCTCGTTGTTGGTTTACACAGTTCCTTAAACTGCCTGGTTTGCTGGGTCGTTGAATGGCTGACATTTGAACTGTTAACTATTTTAACTGTTAACTATAAATACTAATTATAAGATGATGACATATTGCATCGCATTATGATCATAAAGGAAAAAACCATCCTGGGAGTCAGATCAAGGCCCGCTATAGTCCTGGAGAGAAAACCCCAAAGGCCCCCAACAGATGTTATATATTATACATACGTTACGTCCCAATTGTCGTAGGCATGATGTGCAGCCTGTCTTCTTGGTTTCATTACGCGATTAAGAGTCCAGAACTTCATTTCTGTTGCTCCCTCCTCTCCCGGGCCCCCCACATTCGCTCCGGCACTCTGCGGCTCTGCGGCCGCTGTGGACGATGTGTCTCCCCCTCACAGTCACCACGTGGCCGCGACTGCTGCGAGTCTTCATCGACTTTGTGGAACGAGAGCTGCTCATGGGCGGCGGTCCTGGCGGCGGCGGCGGCGGTGCTGGATCTGGATCCAGAACCAGCAGATCCAAGGGCACCTCCGCGGCTGGATCTCGCGGTGTCCGCTCTTCGTCGTCGTCGTCTCTCTGCGCCGCCACCAAGGTCAGTGAGGCGGGTCACCAACTGAGGCGGCTGGTGGCGCTGGCGGATGACGTACAGCGCTCGGGTGAGTACGACAATGTGTCGACACGTGTCGCAATCACAGTACTGCAGTGCCTGTTTTATTTCCCGAGGATGCCTCCCCTACCATACCATACCATACCATACCATACCATACCATACCATACCATACCATACCATCAATGAACGGAGCCTCTCGCGCCTCTTTGTCGAAGTCCCGTCCTCTCCTAGCTCGCTTCATAAGGCGCCACCAACGGCTTACACCCTGATATTTCTCGGACTTCCCCATCATCACCGCCACCACCAGCACCAGATGAAGAAGGTCCGGAGGACTCCCACAACCTTCCCGCCTAAGTCCCCCTCTGCCCGTAACTGGCCCGGCCCTGTCCGCACCCTCACCTTGGACTGACTCCTACCCGCCCCGGTGCGCCCGAATGCCCCTAGTTAGGTTTCCCCTCAACACGTCACGCGTACGTCTTCGTGTCGGGTTTACAACACACACAAGTACATACACATACACATACACACACATACACACACACGCGCGCGCACATGTGCGCAGGCCGGCGCGGCAACCTGCAGCTTTGGGTGTGGCGACTATGGCACCACGTGGCCAAGATGATTGAGGTCTGTACGGTGTACGACATGCACAATGGACGATGTACGGCATACCCTTGCATAATGGACACGCAACAGCACACGACAGGAGAGGGGGCTGGAGATGACGGGCTGGATAAAAGATGAGGAGCAAACTGCTGCTGCTGCTGCTGATAATGATATGAGTGTCCAAATCCTAGTAGTTATCCTAGTAGTTAAACAGACAGACAGACAGACAGACAGACAGTCAGGCGCATGTACAGACGCATGTACACATACATGCACCCTACCCCGCAGGAGCTCGGTCTTCTGCAGTCTCGACTAGCCCCCGACTACATCTCCATCCTCACCCGCCACCTGCTGCCCAACACCGAATACACGAGGGCGCCTCTGGAGCCCTTCCGTGCGCATTGTGAGCGGGGGCGGCCCCCCGGGGGGCCCCCGGGGTTGTGGGCCTTACTGTGTGTTTGTGTGGTTTGCGGGTTGAGTTTGGTGCAGGCAGAACAGATCTTACCCGCGTACTATTCGAGTGACTGACTGTTCGAAACCCGCCGCATCTTCCCCTTCCTCCCCGTCTTCCCACCCCGCCACGCACATACACACACATACACACACGCGCCACGGTAGCTCTGCTGTCATGTTTCTGTACGGCGCTGGAGGGGCTGGTGACGTCACAAGGCCAGTCCGAGTCAGCTTCGGCGGCCGTTACCGGCCAGGCTCAGGTGTGTGCGGCGGTGAAAGCACTTGTTTGCCTCCACCTCACCTCCACCTCACCTCCACCTCACCTCACTGCTCACTAAGCAATACGTCGGCAGTGGATTATTTGCTCTTTGCATGCTATTGAATTCCCCTTCCCCTCCCCTTCCCTTCTGCTTAACCGGGAACATTACATGTATGTATGTTTGTATGTATCAGAGCTATCTGGGCCTTATGACGTCCCTCTTGATGGTGTGGCCGGGAGATCTGTTGGACGAGCAACGAACATCCGTACAGGCAGGTCTTAAGGGTTTGTACGACGGGATACCATTCACAATTTGCGGTACAGTGTACTGGAATGTCTTCTGTGGGCCCTTGGGGTTGGGGGGTTAAACGCGGGAATGGGCATCACTGCCACCACGTGCACATGATATGTATGTATGTATGTTTGTATGTTTGTGTGTGTCTATGTGTGTGTTTGCATGAGAGGCAGCTGTGTGCTGGGTGTGTGGGGCACAATGGGGGGGTTGGGAAAACCCCCCCTGCTTGGACAGACCTTGTCGTGGCAACCTTCGATGCTGTCCCGGTATATGATACGTGCCGTACAAACACACACACATATATATACATACACACACGCTTGTGTGTATTTGTGTGCAGGCGGCCCTGGAGAAGTCCGCTCGCTGGTTGGCCAAGATCAGGTGACACCATCACGGTGTGCGTCTGTATGTATGTATCTCCTCGGGGTCGTGTGTGCACCGATACACGTCTACGTATGTATGTACGTATGTCTGCATGTATGTCTGCATGTTCAAGGACCTAACGAACAGATGCGCGTGGGGGAGTCCACGGGCGGCGACGTAATCAACCTATGGACCTGTGTACGACTATGCGAGGGGGTGATGCGAGGAGGTGATGTAGCCCTATCAGGCTCATGAAAGCAGCTCTCCTCCTCCTCCGCCTCGACGTCATCGTCATCACCACCACCACCCTCATCATCACGGCAATCAGGAGAAGTCCCCCCTCCCCCCCTCCCCCCCTCTCCCGCGACACCCAATACACAATACACAGGGATACGGGGCGGCTCGCGCTGTCCTGGTTTAACTGCGCCGTACAGCTGCTGCTGGCGGGTGGCCTGGATGGACTGGCGACCAGTGCGCCCACCACCCCCACTACTGCTACTGCTACTGCTACAGCCCCTAGCAGCTCCAAAGGTGCTGCAGCTGCTACAGCTGCCAATCATGCTACAGCTAGCCCCATAAGCCCCATAAGCGGCGACCTACCCTCCCGACTTCATACCTCCGTACGGCCGCTCTTGAGAATGGGTTGGCGGGACCTCCGGACGCCGAGGCTCAAGGCACGATGGGGGAGTTGCGCGTGTGTGTATGTATGTATGTATGTTGTTACAGGGTGGTCAACTTCGCCAGCGGCCCCCTTTCCCGGGGCAGTCCCTGCTCTCCCCTGCTAGAGGGGCACCCTAATCCGTCACCCCATCCGACTTCAGAATGTATTCGTTGGGTTCGGCAACTCACCACCAGCATCCAACCAAATCTAGCGGATCAACGGCGCATCAACTTAGTTCCTGGTCAGCTCGCAAGTTGATATTATCACGTCCTACACCGTCCATAAGATGGGGGGCCACCTCCCATTTCATCACTCCTCAAACACCCGAGGAGCCGGCAGGCGGATTTGAACCCGGGTCGACTGTATGTATGTATGTATGTATGTATGTATGTATGTATGTATGTATGTATGTATGTATGTATGTATGTATGTATGTATGTATGTATGTATGTATGTATGTATGTATGTATATGTATATGCGTGTTGTGAGGTGGGGTGGGGTGAGGTGAGGTCTATTGTGAGTGGAGTTGTTTGTTGTTGGTAGGTAGATCCGAGTACAGCGGTGGAGGGTGTTTGAGTCTTCAGGCCAACGACGTCCGGAAAACACAACACGCCATAAGATACCGTTTTCTCTCTCTCCGTCACTGATCCAGTTCGGCTTCCTCAGTCCGGGTTTGCTGGGGTGTGTGGCGGAAGCCGGTGTTGGAGGTGGGTGGATGGAGATGGGAGGTGACCCACCCGCAGCATGGCGGGTTTCAGTGTTGTGTTGCACCGCACCCATCCCGACCCAACACAACACAACACAACCCCTCCCGGTTCCCACGTTATTCCCTTGCGTTGTACCCTGCTCCAGTTTTTACTAGCTGTGTCACGCCAACCGCTAACCGCTAACCGCTAACCGTCAACCCCATGCGCAGGAGATCATGACACGCTACGGCCTGCTACAGCTGCAACTCGGCGGATTGGTTTCGGAATCGGAGGGGGCGAGCAATGGCGGCGATGTCGAGGCGCTGGTGGAGCTGTACGACATGACCCTGTACGACGTGTCGTACGAGGTTGCGAAATGGTGCGCCGGATGGCTGTGCTAGGGCGCCTGCTGCGGCGGGAGAGGGCGGCGGAGCGTCAGTCCGTTGCCGTTTGTCGTACATGCAGTTTTCTTGAACGTCGGGTGTTGCGCGTGTTGTGTTTTTTTCGCCGGATTTATCAGGTATCCCCCCAACATGCAGGGAGGCTCCCTTTCCCCCGCCCCATTTCCCCTCCCCCCCTGCCAACACATACACACACACATACACACACACACACCCCACAGGGATTTAAACCCGTGCGATGGAGACATAGGGCCCTTGGCCCTGCTACAGCTGCAGCTGCTGGCGGGGCTGTTCTTCGCCATGCAGCAAGTAGGTGGTCGGCTGCCGCCGGGTAGGGGGGGTTTGATTGCTGCCGTTATTCCGGTGTTTTGTGATTCGTTGCGGTGTTGGCACTGTTGTTT